CCCGATTGGCTCAAATATCGTGACTTCCGACTTGGCGGACACATAGACAATAACCACAATTTCCTTAGTAAAAGGTTAAGTACTAACCGGAGTGAGAGATCAGAGCCTCGAGTTGAGTCGGAATCGAGATTTGTAGGTGGGGAGTGTCCGAGGAGGAAGTAAGTGGCCGCCACAGCGTCAAAACTACCAAACTGGAGAGAACGGATAATGTCAGCTCGATTGAAGCCCATATTCACCATGATTTCAATTCGAACTGGATCATTGAGATCGGGCTCGGGTTCAACGTAGGGAGTTAGGGGACAGTCCTCATAGCCCGTGTTTATCCACTTGTCCTTCATCACAGACTAGAAGCAAAGAAATAATGGACACTTGTTAGTATAAACATTAAAAGTACTTTCCACCTTAAACACTGTGGTCAGCGTGACATAATTATACCAAAGAGTGAAAACATTCCCTGATCAGGGTAAAATTTGTAAGCTCACGAATAATTTATACATCACTATCGTTATTTCTTTTAATCCATTTGAATTTAATAATGCTGCAAAGATTTTCGTACCAAAAACTAGCAGATACTGCCCTACCACCACCACCCGCCTAGTAAAAATGTAATAATCGCAAGGATTAAAAGCGAGCAACTCAACACACCTAAATGAATGACTCGAAGCCCATTGTATGTGGGGAAATCAATAGTCTGATTATATAGAACAAGTGAGGATTGTCATCAGTACACGTTTTAGACAAAAATGTCCCCATATTGTGTAGGAGGCAGTGAAATTTAGACTACAAGAGTTAAATATTAATCAAGTGTTTGTACATTAGCATCAATACTACAGTCTCCTGAAACTGAAAGTGGGCGAGAAACCACCACCATCACCATCCAATCTGAAAACATATGCACCTTGTGATGTAAGCTCTCTCTTGCAATTTAGTAGTGAGTTGTAAAATGCGAAGAGAAACAAAAATAATAAAAACTGTAACCAAGTACAAATATCTCCAAGTCACTCAGGGAGATAATCGATAAACCGAAATCGACTTCTCGAATAATATGAAAGCGCAAATGATCAAGGATCATCATTTACAAATCAAGCGCTCATGAGAAAGAAGTCACACCCCCACCCCCTCCTATCGCCCTACCNCCCCCCCCCCCCCACCCCCCACACGACTGGTCATTCTCGCTAATATAAAGCGCTCAGAAGTGTACACCCTAAAGCATAACACGCCTTTCCGGAATACGTGCTTTGGCGTCCCACTTTGGAATATTTGGATGATATGGCCGAAGAAGAAAGTAGACAGCTAAACGAGTTGAGGATTCAAACAAATTCTTAGCAACATAACTTACTCATGCACTCGATCCCGCCCGCCCCGCCTCCCCCTCCTTTGTATATTGTTAACGGTAATAAAAATAAATGAAATTCACTCCACCACTATTGTTGCACATTAAAAATAAAGAATAAAATTAAAACCAAGAAAGAGGAAAGTCGGTAGGGGGGGGGGGGGTGCAATAATGACAGCGGAATTGCTGGGTGCTAATTTTTCCAACTCACCCACCGATGGGCGTGGTAGAAGGCGTCATTTACTAGTTTTTGGCCAATACGTGAATTTTTTTCCCCAACTGCCTATTTTTAGATCACCAATAAAATTGCCATCTCAGACTTGAATCGCCTAGAATATAACGTCGTGGAAAACTAGCATTAGGCAGCAAAGGACATTTTGTTCACTATTTCGAACAATATATATATATAAATATTTTACTGCAGTGATATCTATTGGCGTCAAATTCTATTGGAATAGAGAAAATTTAAGCTACTTTGGTTTCACAAGGAAAAAAAGGTGAATAAGGTTAGGGCAGTTATAGTCTACCAACATCAGGAATGAATAAAGATACCGAGTATTCCTTTCCTGAATAATTTTACATAACGTAATCACCGATGAGTTTGTGCAAATATACGTAAGATAAATTATACTTTTGGTTCATCTAGTAAACAATGAACACTAAATCACCGCCTCACACCAAGCTTTTCGGAACGCAATGAAGCTTAATAAAACGTCGGAAAACCGCAGAAGAATAGTCGGTTGGCAGTTCAGATTTCATGGTGGTTGTTTTATACACTCTTTCAATAACAAGTATAAAATGTTGCATAAGCAGATAAAGTATTAATGTTGTTTTCGTTAAAATGCTAATCTAGAGATACCTCAAGAGTGTGACGTTTGGCGGGGTTGAGATGAAGCATTTTGCGCAGAAGGGCCTCGCAGTCAGTGGACATGTAGAAAGGAACTCGGTACTTTCCAGTGAGAACCCGTTCACGGAGCTCTCGGAGATTCTGACCGTCGAAAGGTAGGGCCCCAGATACGAGGGTATAGAGGATTACTCCCAAAGACCAGACATCTACTTCAGGACCATCGTACTTGCGACCCTATAGATTTAAGAAAAATTAAATAATATGAAACCACAAATAATAATAAAAAATCTAATGAAAACTGGTTGCTTAGTAAGCTAGGAAGAGGAATTCATCTTTACAAAAGGAGAGTAGGAAAATGTTTATGCTCATTAGGTTGACAATTTTTCACTTATTTATTAGGTCCTAGAGATGATTTAATTGGGGGGGGGGGGGGGGGGACTAAATGACCCACATTTAATATGGGGTATGCGATAGACTTACCTCCACATGGTGTAGCCTTAGCAACGTATACTCATACGGCAAAAAAGTCTTTTAACCGGCAGTTGATTTCTGACTTCAAACTGCCATCACCCCACTGTATGTTATATTCGACCCCTACCACAGTACTCATCTTACCTTTTCTCTGCCTTTGTGTCTTTTTATCTTTTTATACCTGTGAATCATTATTCTGCCCCCCTCTCGACATTTTGTCACTTTGATGTTCCTCCTCCTCCTCACTGTGAAACCAGAAGTCAACTAATGGGTTAATGATAGCTATCAAGACGCCTGCCATTTGCAATAAATAAATAAAGACATTTAACATTTGTTGGCACTAATTTTCAAACTAGTATACCATTAATTAATTAAATTTTTTAGTTGATGCGAATTTATTTTGAATAAATAGATTAATAAAGGCGGAGAGCGGATATTCTAACGACACGGGTGCGATTTTAAGTGCCTAAAAAAGGTGAAACACTCGAAGATAGCAAGTGATGACAGAGACAGAAATTTTGGTAAAAAGGCTGATTTGTGACCAAAAAAAATATTGGACGATTCACGAAGCGAATTTCAATCATTTCAAAAAAGGCCAATGAAGGCGCCAACACATTCCACAGGCACAAAAATTCCACAAGTAAATAAATAAACATGTTTCTGCTGGGACTGCAAATAAAACCTTGAAAAAAAACGGAGAAATGTAAATTTTTATTATTTGTAAATTGAACTCTAAGATGACAAAATCCACAGAACTTATTTGATTAGGGGAAGTATGTAACAGTCTTTCGTGTATTTACAATTCACAAATGAGCAGGTCAAGTGTAATAGGTAACAAAACAAATGAAAGATTGCGCACAATATATGTCACAAAATCAATAATCAACGTCATAGTAATCAAATACATGACATGTTTGCACACGATGTAAAAAAATGTTTTCTTAAGTCAAGTGGAGAGAATAAAAGGTGCTCTCAATGAGATCCATTCTTTGACACTTCCAGTGGTGATGAATGAAACAAGTTAAACCAATAAAGTCTAAGGAGTTAGCCCTATAAACCGCATGAAATTAAAGTGTCAAGCCATTTACAATGGCTTGTGAAATATTCCTTCGAAGTAACTCCCTGTGTTCCAAGGTTATTTGTCTAAGTGAAATGGTGGTGAATGACCCTTCCGAAAAGATATGATCGGATCGATGAAAAGGCTGTCAAGATCTGTTGTGCGGAATTCAAGGTCTGAGAAACAGTGGCCAAAGCACTAAGACTCGGAGTTTGAATAAAGCTCCATGACACACGTGTTTTTGCGTTATGAGAAAACGATTTAGTTAGGAAGTAATTTGATCCTAGAGAACAACTTACCTTACAAACTGATAAAAAATCATTCTTTTGATTATTATTTATCCACATTGCATCAATCTGTGATCACTAAACTATATACAGAGGTACATGTTCATGTGTATGGAAAGGTCGGCAAATATAGGTCTAATCAAGTTCCGGTTTGCGAGAAAGCACCAATGTTTAAATTCACATGGTCGTGTAGAGGATCAAGTTGCAGATATGGTAGTAAACAAATGAAATGGAGGGGTTCAGTCATGGTAGGAAATCCCATGAATCACATTCACTGTGCACCCAAATCGCATAGTAACACTCCACTTATCACATGTTATGTAACTAATTTAAGGCGAGCCTGTGTTCTCGATGCGTTTTAAGTCTATCATTCGATCACTGAATTAGTTACCTCTCTGAGGAGTTCCATTTTGCTGATTTCTCTACACTATTTCTGATTAAAAGTTCAGACAGGAAAGATATTTGGCTTCTCCCTACTAAAACCTTCCTAAGAAATGAGGAAATCTCGTGGTTCGCTCATTTTACCCTTTAACTGACCAATAGAATAAAGGGCAGATAACGACAAAATGTCTAAGTGCACCGTAATCAACAAACACGACTATCAAAATAGAGACTACGAGATTGATATTCACAGGCGCATATTCAAGGACGTTGGACGTCAACCGCATTGGCAGGCTCTGACTAAGAAGGGGGGGGGGTGTAAGAATGAGAGCATCTTACATAGGATGCATCCATTCTAACATGGCCAAGCGTTCTTGGCCCTTCTCATAATGGGTTTCGAAATTTTCTTAAGAATAAGATAAGTCACCTTTCTATGGCTTCCTGTTAGCGACAAACTTTCCACCAGAAAAGCTATAAATTGTGCTTTAACAAAACAAAACTTACAGCTAACTCGGATGCAAAAGAAACCAAGAACGATTTAGCGGCATGCGAAAACAATGACTAGATTCTTAAATTTACGTTTTTATTAAATAAAGCGTTTATTATTTTTAAAGGCGTCTCTTTCTGGTTGATAATGAAAGCCCTTTAGAAGTGATTCCTCAAAGAGGACACTGGTGAACAGTGTCCCAAACATGAACTACTACAACAGAACGCGAACCCACTGATAAATTCGTAGTTAGATATGCCTCAGAGGTCTCCAAAGAACCAGATTAGCAATTCTAAACCGGGTTACGTCCCCAGTGGGCACCGAAGTAGTGCTTCAATTGAAATAGATGATTGTATTACCAGTAGCTAGAAGTGCAGCATTAGATTAGGAATACCAAACGAAATATCACTTGTCGAATTTCCCAATTTTGATATTATGACCATAGCATTTCTCATAGCATGAACCCATGTGAATGGGGTGCATAGTTCATTTCCCCCATATCAATCGAATCCGCTCAGAAGAAATTTGATTAGATCAGCATGTCTCGGATTGCATATGAAAAGCGACAAAGGCGTAATCAAAACTCTACAAACTAATAAATCATTTCAAAAAAGAACATCTGATAAGCAAAGGTTAGGGTAAAGAGAACAGGATCCTGATGATTCCTTGAATTACCTTCAACTTTCCTTTTTTAAATTCATAGTAACAACCACCAGCCTAGTGCAACTAGGAGTTAAGAACCAATGGGGATCGTGGAATAAAACTGACGACTGAAAATATGTTAAGACAGCTAACTATAGCGTCCTCCTAATTAAGTTAGAAACAAAAAAGCTTTATCTCCTCATCAGCTTAAATTTTTATCGGCTTGTTTTTTTTGCAGCAAGAATTCGAAACCTGGTATTTATTAGGTTCATTAGGTAAGCTATTTCTGTTCGTATGGAAGCAAAAAGTTCCTCTAGGGGATTTGCCTAATAAATGCATTACATTTGTTGGAGAGCAGAGCAAAATGACAAAAAAGTCGAGATCCTTAAACAAGAAGTTGCAGCTAAGTGAATTCCAAATGGCACCTCCTCGGTTGTGCTGTTAGAAGCAAGCTTTAACAACTACTGGATACGAATAACACCATGTGACAGCATGTTAATTGAGCATTTCAAAATCTCCTTTGAATTCAGCTGAAGGCGAAAATTACAGATTGCATGATTAAGCGATGACAGCAAGTCTCCTATTCAACCCATTCCTAAGTCGGAGATAGCTCTTTTTCCTGTGTATCAAGGGTATGCTTCATTATTTCGTCACGACATTTTAGCCTAACTATTGAGGTGCATTCTCGCCTATCGGGGAGACAATCATGCAGTTCCTATAAGTAAACTTAGCACAACCCGAGACTACCCAAAGTGACCGTGGATTGTTAACGCCCGTTCGCATGACACAGCGAGCCATTCCCACAGCCTCATGAGAACGTCACCTGCAGAGAAATTCAACTTAGCTTTCCACCAATACACTGCATCACAAGGCAAAAAATCGGATCAAAGAAGACAGATGGCGGTTCGAACAGGTTCGACCTTGCTGCACACAATCTGAGAGAGGGAGATCAATGAAATGTGGGATGAAATAAACGCCTTTTTTCCGCTAGCATCTGTCTTTCCACATATTTTTCTTTTTACTTTGCTTCATCAATTCCACATCAACACAAAGTAAACATGTGATTGTACAACAGGCAGATAATGAGCTTTCCCATTCATTCAGCCATGACGAAACCTAAGATGAACTTAGTTAATGTTGATGATCGACGAATAGAAGAGAATGCCAAGATGATATTTATGAAATAGTAACAAAATGTGGAATATTGGTTAAGGCGCATATATGGCTTAGAGACAACGATTTTGGAACTCATAGATGCACTTTCAGCAAGTGGGTGATCATTCGGATTGGTTCAATTGACCACCACCAAGAGAGGCCAAGTGTGGGCTACTCAACAGAAAGTAAACACGAGGCAAACTATCCGTCTGTTTCCCTCAACCAACTTGGAATTTATGTCAAATCTCCTCTCTACCAGAAGGCTGAAAGTTGGATTTGCCAAAAATGCTTGATACAAAGTTACAAAAACCGGAAATTGACTCCACCACGTCAATTGAAAAATAGTAGAACGCAAGGCGCATTTCAAACGGAAGTACGAGAGTGACGATGAGTATAAAACATTGACACACCTCCTTTGTGAAATTCCTTCTTCAGCGTCTATTGAGTGATTTCAATTTAACGAAATTAACATACGATAAAGGTACCAAACCCCCACTAAATGTTCAGACAAGGTGAATTAGTGACAATTCATGGAAATGAAATGTACTTCTCTGAAAGGTAAAATAAGTGAAGACTCCTTCCAACTAAATGACCAATTTTTGTTTCCTAGATAAGCATGACAGTTGCGTGCATTTGTGACTGCCTTAAAGAAAAAAAATGGTACAAAATATCTCACAATTTATTGAAGTAGTAGTTTAGGCAGTAGGGGAGAAATTCCCAACAATAAGATTTCATACTGCTCCGAGATTAATTAGATTAGGCAATAAGGATTAGGACTAATAAGTTTAACTGGAGGAGTATGAAGAATGGAATGTCTAAAATTCGAATAGATAGAAATCGAATACAATTGGAGAACTCGAACTAATCTTCCTAATTCAATTGCAAGCATAAAAAGACAACAAAAAAATCGAATTTTGCTATGAATAATCAAGAATGGTAGTAAAAAACTGGTTAAAAGGATGAAAAGGAAGGTAAGAAAAAAACTGGCAAACTTGCTTCAAATAATTCGGGAGCAGCATAGGGCGGACTGCCACAAAATGTGTCCAATTTCTTGTCTGAACTGAATTCGTTGGAAAATCCGAAATCCGCTATTTTTACATTCATTTGAGCGTCGAGAAGAAGGTTCTCAGCTTTGAGGTCACGATGAACAACCTTCTTCTGATGGCAGTATTGCACAGCAGAGACAATCTGACGAAATTTGGCCCGGGCTTCACGCTCTGCCATTTTCCCATGGGTCACGAGGAAGTCGAATACCTCCCCTAAAATGAGATCAGAGGGGGAAATGTCGAGTACTAGAGGCTCCTGGCTCGAGTAGGAACACAACTATACAGATTTTCTATACGTTTTCGTTTAGGAGTGATCAGGTAGGATGAAGAATGTGCGCCGACAAAGTTGGAAGACAATCAATAATAATTTTTATCTCTATATGAGGTATAAACTTCCTAATAAATTTTATCCCTATGAAAAGTGTTCCCAAAAAAATGTAACTTGATAAGAAGCATATCCTTATGCGTAGTCCGCATTTACCGACATGCTTCTTGACTAGAATTATTCAGTATGTGATTAGCTACCCGAACACCACCGGAAGCGCATGATACCTGACTTTCCAGACACACGCATGTTGCCTACTTTCAACGCATGTCCAGATTCAATAAGAGATGTGTCAGCAGCATTTAAATTGGATAGAAAAGGTATCCAGACTCGTTCTAATGAGAAACTCGACACCTATCCACCTTCCTATTGACTAAAATGTATCAAATGGTTTAGCCAGAAGCGCCAAAAAAATCCCACAGAAGGATATTGATAACTGACTTAATAGACCTACGCATTGATTATTGCGATACCGAAGTGGTATTGTGGAATATCCCTAAAGAGGAACCCATTTGTGCTTTTCTGTTGCTAACACATACCAAATAATACTGATCACTGAGAGTCCGATCATAACGAATCTCCACCTCAATACTTTCAATTTGAAAAAGCCATGCTACACCACTAAGTCCTCACTGTGGAGAGGACATTACGATCTTTAACTAAAGGTGAAGTACGATATCCTATGGAAAAATAAAACGATAGTTACGAAGGTCATTAATATCTCGCGTTGAATGCTATTAGGTCAAAAGTGAATTCAAGTACTTCTGTGGTCATTTGACAATGGCCTGGAACAAGTCACCTCGTACACGTGATATAAACATTTAGTCGATCAATTAAACCAGTTAAGCCGGGTATATATAGAGATAAAAACATTCTAAATGAGCGAATGTCGATCAAAGTGCTTGATAGTCTTGGAAATAAAAGCAATATAAAAATGGCAATTCTTTCTATATCCCGGGTAGATAAAAGACACTCGGCTTTATTTCAACTTTCTAATCTTAATTATGGAAATAACTGACAATAATTTTACCATAAAACCCAACAATACATTGCATTTAGTACCTAGCTGTATTAATTGCACAAAGTCCAGTCACCATACAGTAGATAGACCTGTTATAACTGACTGGATGAAACAATACCTGAATACATATATATATATATATATTGATTTGAAAAAAAGTGAAATCGTAGAAGAAACATTTTCTTAATTAAAAAGTCACAGTAAGACATTTTAAGAACACCACAGCCTAGTATGCCAGTTGGTAATTATTTACATAGGAAGAAATTCAACCGCAAATGTGATAACTAAAACACACTCGCTGACCTTGACGAGAGAGAGAGAGAGAGATAATTACATTTTTCATGGAAAGAACAGTCGAGTATCACACAAATGAACGTAGTGATTCATGACTAGGCCATCACTCCTTGGCTTGGTGAAGAATAGTGGAAAGGACACTGGGGTGACAACTTGGCAAACACGCTAATAAACACCTAAGTTTGAAGGCTCAATAGAGGCTTAAAAGTAAGAAGATGGATAAAATGGAGCAAAACTAAACAAGGATAGTAGGCACTACCCTCTGACAAAAGTCTGAATTGCACGTATTTTGACCCAAAAGACAGTGAAGAAATTATACAGTAACATTGTCTCTCTCTCTCTCTACCCAAGGTGAATATTGCAGAAAGTTTCCCAGAACAGAGTTTATGGAAAAAAATGAAGTTTTTTTGTGCTCCAACGAGATAAATACTAACTTAGGCAATGTCTGGAGTAAAAATTTATGATTTATTAACAAGTTTGGCAGTTAGTAATTAACATTTGAAAGTTGTCGAAATGAAATCTGGGATAATCAATGCGTTAAAATGACTTGTATTCATTTCTCTAAAACGAAAAAGAGTACCGTTTAAACAGTTGTTAACTTTGAGGTAGGTTCTAAGCCTCTATATCTTGCCATTACACGCATATTGATGGAATTGAGCACTTACTGTCAGAAGGAATTTGGGAAAGCCTACACATAACCCCAATTATTTATAAATGAGAGATGATGGAAAACAATACACCACGAGAAACAAGACAAGCTAGAACAGGAATTAGTATAGAGTTCACTTCGAGTAAACTTTGGTGAGAGAGAGATTATGCAAGTCTCATTCACTCGCTCGCTCGCAGCTGCGTAAAAACCACAAAAATGACTTAAAGCGTCATGACCAAAAATTTAAGCAAAACCAGAAAAATATCTTTATACTGCGAAGGCAAACCAACCCAGAAAATTGAGGGTTTTAAGAACTGAAGTCTACTTCTTAGGAAAAATTTTGCAATGTGAAGCTTCCAGAAATCACGTAAATCTAGGCATTAATAGAATTAATGAACCCAACAGCGACTCCCCACTTCATGTCATCCCTTAATCAGGCGGTTTTGTTATTTCACGTTTTCAAAAGCTATTACGCGATTAAATTTTTTTAAAATCTGTTAGCTTTTCCATGGGCAATAATTATAAAAGAATAATAACATGTATAATGATTTTACTTGCAAAAACGTGAATAACTGATTTCCACCCAATAACCTCGGAGCAGCAAACACGAAGAGAGGTCTCAAAAAGCCAGCCAATTAATAGTGAAATGGAAAAAAATATGACCTGTGCATTTCCATTTGAGAAAAAGAAAGCTTAAGGATATGTGAATTGTACACTCCTTCTTTAGTTAAAAGGAAGATTTTCCAATTCTATTCGATTCTGGAAGGAAATACATGGATCTGCCATGCTGCAAAGTGTATTCTTTACTAATTTCGAAAAAAAAGAGTGTTTTGAGAATAAACCTAAACTCATACACTTTGACAACTGACCGGAGTAATTAAGGCTGACAGTTGTAGTTGACAAATGATGGATGGCAGAAACCGAGCGATTACAGGTAAAATCACGCGCATGCCCCCCTTAAAGAAAACCTCCTAAAAGCGTAGGCTGCAGTCGTTGCCAGCGCAATTTACGTCATTTCTACTAAAATCGTTTGAATGCGCATGCACAAGCGAGCGATTATGGCTCTACCTAAGGTCTATCTATCTGCATTTTCGAAGTGAAGGTTCACTGCTCTAGTGTTCGAAGAGCACAGGTTTGAAGTAACCATTATTGAGCTAGTGCTGGCATCTGTTAGTCTTCAACTGAAATCGTTCGGATATAAGAGGAAAGCAGAATTAAGTTTGTAGGAATTAAAAATATCACAAGAAGTGGGGAGTTTACATTCGGATATAAGTTGGGCAATCCAATGACCCAAGCATTCACATGATACTGCACGTATCTAATAGTGAGTCATAACCTCGAATGATTACGCACCTTATTAAATTCCGCCATGGTCGGATAGAATAGTAGTTAAAAGGGTGTGAGAGGCCTAGTGCAAATTACCTGTGCACAAAAGTACTTCGATTAATTAATTGACTAATTCACTGAAAATTCAATTAATTTCAAATGACGCTCAAATCATTCAAAGTCTCATGCTTCGCCATATTTATCTTAAAATATAACTTGTGAAGCCTTAGAGACTAAAATGAGCTCAGCGAGAAGTCTAAATGAAATGAGTGATGAGGATTAGAAAGGTCAAACACAGCCAGGAAGTATAAAGAATCATCAAACAGCAATTGCTGGTTCGTTAATAGTGCAACTGATACAAGCAACTACTAAAGAGTGCTATTAAATATAAAAGCCTGTAGTAGAATAAATCGGCTCGAATGGAATTATAAATTTTGTATTAAAATTGGTTGTTGCATACAGTTAAAAGAAAAAACAAGATTCAAAAATTACCTCCACTAGCATATTCCATAACAAGATAGAGTACTTTGTCATTGGCAATAATCTCAAAAAGTTTGACTATATTAGGATGATCGAGCATCTTCATGATTCGCACTTCACGAAAGAGTTTCTGTCGACTTGAGGGGGAGAGCTGGGTCTTATCGATAATCTTAATGGCCACCTCCTTGCCTGTAATCACATGACAGGCCAATTTTACCTTGGCAAAGTTGCCCTTCCCGATGGTTCGAATGAACTTGTACTTTCCAATCTGGGGTTGATCATTAGTGGCGATGTGTGAAGGGACTGAGGAAGGAACTGTGGCATTTGAGGACGAAGAACGAGTTGCAAAAGAGTCGCTAGCCGCACGAGAGGAAGAGGAACGTTGGGATGTACCTGAGGAATTACCGTTTCCGTTGGCATAACGACTGTTAGTGACTGTTGTGGTATTCGAGGTTTCTGAAGTAGTTGTAGATGGAGTCTGAGAAGAGGATGGGACTGCAGCAGATGCTACTGCTCCCTCTGGATCAGGCTAAATCAATAAGGGCATGGATTAATTGGAAAGAGATAATCGATATTCAAACAAAACAACCTAGAACCTTACAGTATTTGAGAATTTCTCATTCAAAGGAGGTAGAGTCATTCCAGCTGACATTACAGCGTTTTACTGGATGAAAGGACAGGTAAATAAAGATATGAATAACGATCCAAAATATTGTTCTTCTGGATAGAGATCACAAATGTACCCTCCTTCGGGGTGAAAATTAGCAGTCCTTTATATGCTCTCAAGTCTACTTAAGAAAAGAAAAAAATATTCATTTAAAAAGCAAGATTCCAACAAAATTATTTTCAAATCGAAATAAAAATCTAAAGACTGCCTAATAATGTCAGAACATAATGGGAATATTTATGAGAATAAACACAAATAACAATTAGTTGACCTTTATTTCTGTCTCACTAAGAACAATTATGAAAAATATATAAGGATAAAAACGATAAAAACACACTTTTATTTTGAAAACGCACTCCAAGGTTGAGTTAAGATAGTAATAATGACACATTAACTGCAATTATTAAAATGAGAAAATACTCACTGATAAACAGATTAGACTACTATACAACAATAAAAAGGCAAAAAATTGAAAAATTATATGTTAACAACGTGACTTTGAACTATAATTTTGAATAACTTACAAATATTTGATAAAATACAACAAAAAATAACGAGGTAAGAGGAGATCAAATATTAATGGTATAGGCGCTAAAACATAGAGCCGACATAACAGTTAAGTCAAACACACAAATACAATTTTAGATTATAATTTATCTAATATCTTCATAATAAATTTAAAAATATAAAAGAAAAGAAATTCAACGTAACAGAGTTGATTTAATTAGCGACTTAAAAACCGTGTTTTGCCTTCAATTTTGCAGGTTGTGATAATAGGTGAGCTGATTGTATTAAATTTTGTTTACATAATGTGAATATGTCCTTATTGCCTTGGTAGTCGGCAGCTTTTGCTATTATATGTGTTTGTCATTTCTTTTGTTTCACATGAAAACTTATTTGTCTTACTGTATCTTTTATTCTCTTTAGATGGTTTCAAATCTCACTTTCCTCTTCAGAGTTCTACAAAAACGAACATTTCTTTCCACCTTTTCTCAATTTCGTTTTATTAGCTATAAACCTACTCTTAATACTCCACTATTTCCTTTTCCCATTGACATCAATACAAAATCTAAAGGTCCTACATCTGGTATGTACATAAATTTATAATTATTTTAGTTCAGTTGATCAATTTGAATTGGTAAAAAACGCGAATTTCATTCTTCATGACGGCCCTCCTTACGCTAATGGTCCTATTCATTTTGGTCACGCATTAAACAAGGTAATAGTGAATTCTTCGACAGTATTTCGTAGATTTTAAAAGACTTCATTGTGAGATATCAAAAATTGCAAGGAAAATCGGTTTCTTTTATCCCTGGTTGGGATTGCCATGGTTTACCGATTGAGCTTACAGCTATTGGCAATGACTTCTTACTCCCTCCTTCGGAGATCAGGAACGCCTGTAAGATCAAATGGCTTAATCGTTATTTTCGTCTATTTAGCTCGCAAACGTGCAGAATATTGTATGTCAGATCAGGCTAATTCCTTCAAACGGTTAAATATTCATGCTGATTGGAATCACGCCTATTCTACTCTTGATAATACCTATCAAGCAACTGTAATCCGAGCATTCCGTGATCTTCATAGGAGGGGATATGTCATACGTGAACATAAGCCTGTCTACTGGTCAAGAACCACTCGGTTTGTTATCTGTTTCCTGTAAACTCTTTTTTTAATAGATCAGCGGTTTCAGATTCTGAACTGGAGTATAATCCACAACAAGAAAGTCCATCTCTCTACTTCCTTGTTGAGCTCCATACCCAACCCCCTTGGATTCCAAGTAAGCCACAAACTCACTTTAATGAATGTTCACTTATCACTTAGCCTCTTATAGAAAATACGCCACTCATGCCGTTGTCTGGACTACCACGCCTTGGACTATTGCAGCTAATGAAGCTATCATTTTCAACCCGTTCGAAGAGTAATTGGTTTAGAATTATCTTATTGTCATTCAATATTTTAAGGTATTCTGTGGTATTTGATAAGACAACGAAGAGAATTCTTATTGTAGCGTCTTATTTTGTACAATCACTCTACGCGTTGCTAAATTGTCCATCGGACAGATTTGAAATCATCACAACCGTTCATGGAGGTAATTTTGTTCTTTTTTCTCTAGCTTAAATATTTATTATTTTGCTTAATTTTATTGTTTTCTATGCCCATTATCTCACTGTTTGTTAGGTTGTTCTGAAATTTAAAAGGGTTTTCAGTTGTAGTCTCCTTTCTATTTGCTTTTCCCACTTTTGCATCTTCGATCATTTTGTTTAGTCTTTTTTTGAAGTTTTGTCTATTTTGAATTCATTTTTTCGAATAAAATATGGTCTTTTGTCTTATTTTAGGTAGCTTCGACAACTATGCTTATAAGCATCCTATGAATCGACAAGTTCCCACTCATCGCACAGATCACCACTCCTATCGATTGATGCCCGGAGACTTTGTGGAACGAAATAAGGGCACCGGGTTCGTGCATTGTGCACCTGCTCATGGCAGAGAAGACTTTGATTTCGCCCGGCGTCATGGTCTTCCTCTTGTAAGTTCTCTTCCCTCCTCTTTTCCCTGCAAATAACAGTCCAACCTCTGTATTGAAGACGAAACTATCCCAATGATGATCAGAGGGCTGTCTGGCAATTTCCATTCCGTTCCCCTGTTCCCCCGTTGTTCATTTAACTAAGGCGCTCGTGATTTGGCACATTGGGGTTTTTTATCACATTCAATGTTGTTTGCTGGGGTGTGTGATAGACTTACCTCCACGTGGTGCACCCTGGGCAACGTATACTCATACGGCAAAAAAGCTATTAACTGGCAGTTGACCTCTCACTTTAAACTACCATCACCTCACTCTATGCCATATTTGACTATTTTCACAGCACTCACTTCACCTTTTTTCTACCGTTGTATTTGTCTCTTACATCTTTGAAACACTCTTCTGCTCCTCCCCTCTCGACTTTTTTTCAATTTGATGTTCCTTTCCCTCTGTGAAGCCTGAAGTCAACTAAAGGGGTAGTGATAGCCATCAAGATGCCTGCCATTTGATGTAAATAAAAATAAACGTTGTTTGCTTGTAGAGATCCTTGGTGGATGCGGAGACTAAGTTCACTGCTGAAGCCGGTGAAGATTTGGCGAACCTATTTGTGCAAGAAGAGGGCAGTGCTGCAGGTATGCTTCCTTTTCATTTTCAAATGCTCCTTCTTCTTATTTAATAAACAAGCATCAAATAGTATGACAAATATAAAGAAAATTCCTACCACATTCTTCCTCCGTGGCTATTTTTAAGAACCGGTACCTTTTGTTATGTCATTGGTACCATTTTCCACTTTATTTTTATAAATTCATGCGGTAAATTGGTCATTACATTTAACAGCGATCATCAATTAATGATTAAACTTGGGCTTTTTATTGTTAATTGAAGATGAGGCGAGTTGGCTCGAATTAATGCAATTACAGTCATCCAAAATGTAATTGTGCCTGAGTTGTTGGATGTGGGTGTTTTATGTCGAAATTTAATCTTATTACGATTTTATTTCTATGAAATGTATTTGGACATTTTAAAGTGACTCTTCATTTCTGTAGCCAATTAATCTTTTAATTATTGGTTAATATTTAAAAAATGGCACATTCTTAAACTAATAAACATTTATTTATTTATTTATTTATTTATTTCAAGTTGCAGGCTTTTTGATATTTATCATTAGCCCTTTAGCTGACTTTTGTCTTCACAGAGAGGAGGAGGAGGAACATCAAAATGAGAAGGGAAACAAAAGAGTGATTCACAGGTGTAAAAGAGACAGACAGACACAAAGGCAGAGAAAAGGTGAGGTGAGTACTGTGAAAGTGGTGGAATGTAGCATACAGTGGGGTCATGGTAGTTTGAAGTCAGAAGTTAACTGCCTTATGAGTATACGTTGCCCAGGATGCACCACGTGGTGGTAAGTCTATCGCACACCCCAACGAATAAACATTTGGGTATAGGCGTTCTTTGAACTTAGCTCTGTTCATAGAATGTGTAATTGGCCTACTTCCCAAACTTCAAAATCCTTGTGACTGCACAACATATCTCAACTTTTTAGTAATCAAACGATTAGGAGATCAGTTGCTGGCTTTGGGCACCATCCAACACAGCTACCCCATTGAATGGCGGACTAAACAACCTATCATCACCCGTCTCTCCGAACAATGGTTTATTGACACTTCCAAGCTCGAAGAACGTGCCAAGGTTAGATTACGTCTTTTTACTTGATTTCTCAGACCATACCATGTGCTTATTTACCCTTTCTTTCGTTGTTTATATATATGCCACCCTTTAGTTTTGAGTAGTCGTGTTTCCTTCCTCAACTCCTACTACACTTATCTGCTTAATCGTTTATTAGTTTATTCGTTTTGCAGGCGGCTTATGCGACCGTGAATGTTTTCCCTCCCGAGCGCAAGTCGATGATGCAGGCGTTTATTGAACAGCGACCCTTCTGGTGTATATCCCGACAACGCAACTGGGGTGTCCCGCTCCCCGTTCTCTATCGCAACAATGAAGCAATCGTGGATGGTGACTTTATCGAAGCTGTTGCAGAACGAGTTGCTAGGGGGGGAAGTGAATTTTGGTGGGATTCTAGCATCCCTAACTCCCAACTTATTCCACCAAGTTGTCTTGAAAAGGTATTACGGGTTTGTAGCTGCTACTTCATCAAAATTTAGATACAACTTATAACGATTATTTCCCTCTTTTTAGTGGAACCTGTCGGCACAATGTGCTGACACAGAATTAGTTCGTGGATCAGATATCTTTGATGTATGGTTTGAGTCTGGTCTCTCTTGGAAAGCTGTTCTTTCGGAAAACCGTTAGTGAACTCTCTTTTGAGCATATATAACTTTATTAAATGGTGTTCTAACTGTCATGTCTTCCTTTAGAGGTCGCAGACGTTTATGTGGAAGGCCTTGATCAATTTCGCGGTTGGTTCTCTTCCTCTCTTCTCCTTTCTGCAGCTCTTGTTGAAAGGGCTCCCTTCAAAGATCTGGTAGTTCATGGTTTCACTACGGATGGTGAGGGACGGAAGATGTCTAAGTCTCTGGGTAATGTAATCTCCCCTCAGGAGATTCTTGATGGCGTCGCCACCGGATGCACTGATGTTCTACGACGTTGGGCCGCAACTTCAGCCCTTGCAACTCGGTCTGCTGTTAGTGTTAAGGCTTTTACTGCACATACTATCTCCTATAAAAAGGTGAATACCTATTAGTCATTCATTTTATTGCTTATTAAATGTTTAAAAGTTGCTTCTGAGAAGTGAATCCGCATGGAAGTCTCTTTTACTCTTAATTTTTCTCATATTTGAAGGCTTTGAACTTATTTGTTCTTTTCCTCAAAGAGGGCCTATAGCAACAATAAACCTATATCCCTCTTACATTTCTCTAGAAAGCTAATACCTTACGCCTTTCATCCAGAGTTTTAACAAGTGAAGAAACGGGACTTCCAGTGACAAAACCTGCTATCAAACTTCGGTAATAGATGTCATTTCCTTTGTGTGTGTTGCTAAGGCGATTCAAGAGTTATCTAATCATCAGAATCGGGCGTGGGAGGGGGTGAATTTGGTCGTACTTAAATCTGATTTGATTAGTTGACTAGATAATGTCCTGATCAGTCTACGTCAGTTAGAATGAAGCACTCTTCTATACGCCATAGTGGTGAATTGATTTCCCCGATTGTAAAAGCCTCCTTCACTTGTTCTCATCTATGATGCCAATATTCTTTTCATTTATGTATTATTTAATCTTATTTCGTAGACCGGTGCTTTTAACTATTCTTTTTTCTCTAGCTCAGAAACATGTTCCGTTTCGCACTTGGAAACATCCACGATTTGGTTGAGAAACGAGGTCGTGATTGGGTCCTCAATTCCTTTATGTCCAACAAGGTAGAATGTGCCACATTCTCCCTACTAGATAAATGGGTCTTATCAATGGTTGGTCGATTCTGTGCCGATTGCCTTGAATTCTACTACCCTCAACATCGATACGAGGCTCTTATCGCCGCATTGGATCAACTTGTGTCTCGAATCTCTACAACCTACTTCAATGGCGTGAAAGATGTGTAGGTTTGTCTGTTATAATAATAGCGTGTTAATCTTCTTTTGGCAGGCTCTACTGTGATGCAGCTGAGAGTGAAACACGACGAGGTGTTCAACAAACTCTCCTTCTGGTGACTGAAGTACTTAGACTCTGTCTTGATCCTATCTTCCCCGATCTCAGTGCTGAGGTAGATGCCGCTTTAGACAAATCATCGATTGAAAACACGCAGCTGCTTCATTTCGCCGCCACTCATTGGAAAGCGGAAGACGCGACCCTTTCTCGTGCGGTAGCTCAAGCCGTCGCCCTACGACAAGCTATTGTAGCTAAAAGGCATCCTGACGGTCAAGAATCGTCTCAACTTTGGTCAGGTCCTGCTGCTAATCCATTAGCTCGACTTCATATCATAATTCTGGAAGAAGGCACGGAAATCAAAGGATTAGACTCCATTAAGGTCAGTGCCTTGAAAACCCCAATTTCCCCCCCCCCCTCCCCCACTTCTCCTAATCTTTAAGAGGGTGCAAGTCGTTTGGATATGAGGAAAATATTTCTCAGAAATATGAGCACTGTGGTACAACTCCCAATTTAGTTCTTGAATCATTTAGGATGTCTTCCCTGCTATGTCATGTTGAAGAATTATCTCTTTTATGTCAGGTGTAATTGAACGTCTGTCTTTTAATTTCTGGTTGAGTCTTCCTAATTCTTGACAGCAATTAACCTCGGTTAAAACTATTTCACCCAATTTTGACAAATCGTAATGGATTATTCTACATCATCTCAGCTTGTGCAGTGAAGAGGCTTTCAAAAGGATAACCTCCTGGCTTAGTGGATGGAATGGGTGTGTTCATTTTGTATAAAATATTGTTTTTCTTCAGTAAATTTGTCTAAACTATCTGAGTTTTTGCTCCAGCTAACGAATTATTTGATGCCCTGTGTTTAAGTTAAAGATGACCTTTGAGTGCATTGCACGTTTGAGCATGGACATCCGAGTTTCTACCACAATTTTTGTATAGTTAATCGGTTATTTTATCCATCCAGAGATCTCAACACTTCATCATCAACTTTTTAGTTTCTCATGGTTTTGACGCCTCATTTAAATTCCTATTGCTCCATTTCAATGCTTGAAGTCGCTTGATCGTGTCTTGTAGGCGTTCAACTTCCATGAGAAGAAGCAGTATCCAATGTCTGACTCTCTTGATTTCTCTCTGCTCTGGGATTGGACATGTTTACCCTTAACAATGAAAGGAAACTTATTGTTCATAACTTATGTTGACCAATTTGTCGTTCAAGAGCGCAGAACTTACATGCGTTTGTTTCCTTCCCTGTGTCTTCGTGCTCTCCTCAATACCTGACATTACAGCTTAATCAATATTTCCGTTTTTTAAATATCTCATTATCGGCATCTGTTAGCGGGGTTTGTGCTTCCCTCCTCGTCTTGCAGGTTTTTTGAAGGACTACTTTATTTGGTTCGACTGCTTTGTCAGCTAGTTTTACCCATTCGCTTTTTATTAATAGCGCAACGCTTGACCTTACCACTTTTGTATCCCCTGTTCCTCCCTTTTTTATAGCGCTTGAATGAGGAGGTTGACCCTGACGGAACTTCCACACTCTGCAAAATTCTCCGTTGTGCCTCCATACGTTTTGGTACTACGACTCAACGAGAAAATTGTATTGAATTGAAGTTGGAGAATGTTTTAGGTGAGGAAGAACCATCAGAATATCCGTCCCATCTGACGTGCCTACTGAGATTGGCCCACGAGTCAACTCAATGTCCACGCTGTAGACGTTATCGATCGATTAATAAGTGCCTCTGTGAGAGGTGTGCTCCTGTAGTTTCCAGCTTGTCCTATGACCAGCAGAAAAGTGATTCAGTTAAATGTGGCACATCTTTGTAACAGTGTTCTTTTGTTGTATTTATATGTAGATTAAATTTTTCACTATATCTGAAGCGGTTTTTTAGCATGGGGTATCTGGGATATACATGACTTGAATTTCCTCCTTATTATTCTTGATCTTATTCGGTTTTCTTTTACAAATTGAAGATTCGAATAGTAGATACAAGTTAGCGATGTTGTTAGTACTTATTTTCATTGTATATACATTAGCATTGTTAGTGCCGTATGCATTGTATTGGATCTTGTCTGTGTATTTCATAAAACCACAGCTCAAAATGAGTCAGTTGGGGGGTGGGGGGGGGGGGGGGGGGGGGGGGGGGGGTCTATCTGCTCTTTACGCCATCTAGGGGGTAGGAGTTCGGTGAAGGGATTCGAAAGAAAACCGATGGTATTGCACAGATTAAGGCATTAATGAGACGTCGGTTACTTATAAGCCCCCAGACCTACACCTGTCTTATGGCCATGCGATTGACGCATCTTCTAGAAACGTAGAAGAGCGAGGTCGCCGTAGCATCTAAGCATGACGCTTGGTTCATCGATATTGCGCTTTTTAGTGAACTAAATAAGGAATCGATAAACAAATTAATGTATAGAAAAATTGATTAGATGGAGAACGTGTTAGGAAATTGATTTTACTTAATTATTAAACACCAAAGGTACTAATGGAAAATGGCATTCAAATCATAGTTCCCGGATTCAATTCAGTGAATCATTGTCCAACGTTCATCTTAGAAAATCCGACCATGGAGCCTCGTTGATAAGAGATTCGAATTCTTCTACCATATATATATATATAAGCAGTTTAGTTGACCATTTCGTTCGTTGGGTGTATTTCAACGGAAATCACGCCCGTGACCTCTGACAAGACAGACGTACGCAATGATTAACGAGCAGCCTGATGTATTTAGAGAATATGTAAAAGCTCATCTTTCAGGCATGTCAGAAGTAATTTATATCCGACTAATTGAAATGATGAGATGTCAACTTTCTAATTAGATGTTTCGGTATGTGTATTGAAGAGATTTCACAGAAGATTATCATCATGAGGAGGCATAGGCAACTGAGCATGAACGGCATTACACAAAGAGACTTATATATATATATATATATATAAGCTTGATATTCTGTTAATGTACTGATGCGACTTATTGACTTCTCCTATGTGGTTCCGGTCCACATTACGCCAATAACACATGACAATCTGAGCTCACCCAATTAAATATACTTGAAGTGAGAACTAGAGTTAGATATTAATATATATATGCCGTCGCATATGCTAACTTTTAAACTTCATGGGCCTTATGGCGGCTGATAGTTAATAAAAAGGTGAAGTGTTGGAATGCATAAAATCCAAGATATTTTGCTGATACCTTTCAATAACAAGGCTCTTAATAAATAGCAATTTAGCTCAGACACAACAATTGAAAAGGTACTTGAATTTCTGATAATAATCAATTAGCCAACTGGGTATGACAATTAGCAACATCTTATGCCCGTGTGGTACATATTTGTCAATTTTTATCTGATGATAAGGATTAGGATCAAATAAATAAAAGCGAATCGGAACATTTTATGGTGATCAATACTAGTATAAAATAGCTTTCTGAATGAATGCAGTCATAAGAACGATGGATTTGGTTATTTGTTATGTAGTTGAAAAGAGTTTCAGAGATATTCTCAATTAAATATTATGAAATACAGCATCTCCTCGTGTAGGGAAATTGATTTTCATAGCATATTTTATTCAAAATTTTGCGTTCTCAAACTCACAACTGCCTTAACTATTGCGCGTTTCTTACTTCTCTATACAAACAAATTGTTCACTCTGCTGTCTATCAATCTCGATAATTATAAATGTATATTCTTGACCAATGCACACGTTAAGCAATCACTTAGGTAAACGATTCCCAACTCACGACTTTTTTCTTCATTTCACTCCCACGGATTTCGCCGTGGTTACTAAATACATGTTTGTCCTCTGACCGAATCTTGGAATTCTTATCTGTAAAAGTTCTTCGTTCGACTTTAGACAAGTTGTTGATGAATCCCTTACTTTGTTATAATATGTTGACTTTACTACTGCCCTCATTGTATTTAATATATTATGCGGCAACTGGAACTTATCTCTGTTTACTCTCGAAGCTCCAATTATATTGATTCTCCATAGGTGCTTTAAAAGCCGGCAATAACATCAGATCCATGGGAAGTTGCTTGCATTGAATCAAAAAAAATACACTATTGAAATTATGAATTACTTATTTAATTTATCAATTCCATGAGGTAAATAAGACAATATAAGGGAAATGAGGAACATATCATAATTTTTTAAACTATTTATCCAACTCTATTCACTTGCAAGCAAATCATTAATGGATGTGAATGTAATTTCAATTGCAACAAATATAATAGAAGTCTAACAAACAGCAAACAAAAGTTCATAAATATATGTTAAATATAAAAATTCAATAGGTATATCAGCGACAAAATTAAATAAATCTTCCAATTCATAACAAATTACCATTACTGACGAGAATGCATAATATAGATTATTTCTTAAACTGATTTAAAATTAAATTATTCAATTTTTTCTTAGTGAATAATTTGCTTGAAAAAGACTTATGAAAAGTAATCTAAAATTACATTTATTATTAGGATATTGAAAGATTTGATATATTCTATTGAATTCACTTATTACCGCCAATTACCACAAAACCTACCAATGGATGGTGAGGGTCGCTATACTCGTTCGCTGAAGTGCCAAGTCTCCGTCGGTGAGCTTTACAGATGGATTTTGGCCAAATTATCAGATAAAGATATCAAAAGAGCTCTTCACAAATATCGTGATCTTATGCCTCGCCAATCCGATTGGAACCGTAAACTAACTCAAGCCACTAACGTTCCTGAGTTGGGATTTCGTTATCTATATCGCTGTGGGCAAATAGACGAAAGTAATCATCGCACGATGCAAAAGATGCTCAAATACATTGATCGTCAAGATGTTTTACCGTACTTCGATACAATCTTGTATAATTCCAACAACGCCAATTTTTCTATCGAAGATTTGCAAAAACGTATATGTTGTTAGTCTATTAACGAATATTTTTCCATATTAGTGCTTCTTGATCGTGTTGAAATTTTCCTAAGAGCGTCTACTTCGCTTATGGAGGACGAGGTTCATCCTCTACCGCCTTATGAAATTCAATGTCAATCTCTTGAGGATCGCAGGTTTACCAGGTAACGGGGTATTCTTTTGTTTATGTATTTTTGCGAAATTTTTCATATGTTATTTCATTTTGTATATTATTCACATCATTTTATGTTTCAACTCACTTATTGTGTTTTTTTTTGGCATACAGATCTTTTTTGTAGTTACTCTTCAAGCTTTATGCTTAAACATTCATTTACTATGTCATCCCCGTTATACTTTTTTATATTCCATAGTTTTTAGTCTAGGTGGCTTTTGCGTTTAGTAGAAGTGTCAATGATTACCAGCTAATTGAAACTAACTCTTATTTATAGGTTTTAAGTAGTTTATGGAAATACCTTATGCTGCCGCTTAGTTTGTGTTTGTAATTTATGGATTTGAACTCTGTTCACACGCTGAGAATGACTCCTCTTTGCACAAATGGTTGCGTCAATTTACGCCAGCCGTAACTGTGTTGTGATTGCTGCTGATATTCATTCCATGCCCATGTGATGCGCTTGCACTAATATCATGGATTGGAGTTTGACGTCCAACCGCGATTTTGCATCTTTAGGAGGAATGTAGGCTCTGAAATTTAAATACGCTCCCTTAATTCGAGTAATTATCCATTGAACTTGTACTTATTTCAGTTGGGCAGCATAGGATAAGAACTGCAATGTGTTAATTTTTATTGCGGTGGGTCATTGGAATAAAACTAAGTTCAGGTCAAAGGTAACTTCGTTCTAGTTATTCTCTTTCACTTATTTTACGTGCATTTACCTGAGTTGATTAATTCGATTTTCTGTATTTCACCTATTCATTCAATTAATCCTTAATTGATCCCTTGATCAATAGTGTGTTCTCTTTGTGATTGTTTGATAATGCCATATAATTGCCTGATTATTTTTCGTTTAACCTATTAAGAATATTCAATTTTTTCGTTCCGATCTATCTCTCCCGGTTCTTTGGGTACTTAAAATGGCTATTATCCCTGTACCCAATTTTAAAATTGGTCAAATTAATATTAAGCGATTTTACGCTTTCTTAGCCGTTCATCTCCATGAAGGTTAATTGAATTTTCACCTCAAAATAATTTTTAAAGTTCTTGGCCACAGCTTCTTCGAGTTTCCTTTGCATTCTTTCTGCTCATTTAAATTTAACTTGGAACCAGCCAAACCGATTTTGAAGATTTGGCCTTGATGTTACTTGAAGTCTCTTTGTACTTTCTTCCTCATTATAATAATCTCATTGCTCAATTTGCTGGAAACTTTTTTTCTAGTTCGGATTTCGCTTAGGGAAATTTTTGGTGAAAATCAGTTTCTGTCGCACCTGTTGTTATTGTTTTTTTCTTTCATATCCTAAATCATCTGTTCAACCTGTATTTCATGTGGAAGTTCTTCACATCATTGCTTTTTTTCTTTTTATCATTTTGTTCTGGTCTTGGAGAATCGATTTAAAACTTTTTTATGATTTCGGGGTCATCCTTTATTTGTTTCATATAATATTAACCATCGCTGAGCTGTGAATCAATTATGTGCACCCTTTCGTTTTGCTTTGCACAAGTGTCCTTAACTAATCTATCACAAGTTGATTAGTCAGCGGCAGTAATTGGCCTTCTCTGCTCCTCTTTGGCTATTAATCGCCTGGGAGAGGCATCTATGGCTCCCCGTAACTCATTAATTGATTGCTTCCTTTGCTGTTATTTCCAAACATCCTGTTTTCGGTTAGCACTCCAAATTGAAACAGTTCAGCGCAGTTATACCACTTTTTCTTACGAATCGGTTCTTTTATTTTATAATTTGGAGTTCAATTAGTCTTTCTTGCATTCGCTACTATATTGAAACAATTTTATCTTCTTCAGATCTCTGACTAAACGTAAGTCTTGCGATCCTCTACAATGCATGACATTTGCAAAGCGTACCAGAAAGCAATGCGCCTCTCACGATGACAGTCCATCATCTTCATCACATCAAGATGATCAAGATGCAAGCGCTTCCCTCCGTGGTCAGGCCTACTCAGCTATCAAAGCCTGTACTCTCTCCGGTCCAGCTATTCAGACTATTCTTAATGCGTCTCTATACAACACGATTTCAGTGATCATATCAAACTCTACTAGCCCTAATGCACCTCAGCCTCGATTATCCTACTCGGCCATCTCCAATGTCCTCAGCAATCCTACCTTTAGCGCACTTTACAATTCCGGTCTTCTCTCCCACCCCCGTATGCCCAATTGGCTCTCAATGATCCGTTTTCACTTTGCAACTGTACGCCCGAATCGAACTGCTGAAATATCGCCTTTTCCACCTATCCCTGTGCATCATCAGAATTCGTCTACCGAGCAAAGAGTTGACACATTTCAACGGCAACTCATGACGTACGGGGGAGTCGGCGTTACAGCCTCTGATAATGACTCTCTTATCCATTACTACTGTCGCGTTCGAATGCGCATCAAACTCGATTTAGGAAACTCAAGAGAAACGCTCGTGAGTTCGTTTCTATCTACTGATTAATTACTAGTAGTTGTAATTTTGCCTAATTCGTGTTTTTGCCATTCAGCAAACTTTTGTAGCCTCGGATCGACACGATCCGTTCTCTCGACAGATGGACGTCTACCTGCAGGCTGTCAATCTCCTTCGTAATAGAGGCGGATCGGAATACTGTTGCACCTTCAGATTTAATCGATTGGACCATTTGGAGGCATTTTGGAGTGACTACACTTCTGGTGCTCTTAGAAAGGTAGAGTTCTTCAATTTATCTATTTAATTGATGATTTATGACTCTAATTTTGATCGGTTATATTTACTTGTAGTGAATAGAATTGAGGATTATGATGGGTACTTGAAGTGCTGTTTCAATTATAGATGAATGACTAAACGTTTAATTATTGCTACGATGTGCGGAATAATATCTTTGTGGGTCTTATTTACTTGCTCTTAACCTTAAAGGTTATAAATCGAGCATCCTAAGCCAGCTGATTAACAGCCTCCGAATAGAAATTTCATATTGTCATCGAGAAATCTGAGGATCAAACTATTACGTTTAACCCTTTAGTGCTTAGTGCAATGTTACGCACGCCTTATAAGAAGATATGTAACTCTTTGTGTCTGAAGTTCTGACAAGTCAAGGCATATTATTCCCTGATCTCTATGTCTATTTCTAGTCGACTCCTATCCCTGCTCGGTTCCTTGGTAAGCCTTACTTTTTTATTTCTGATTCAGGTTTTTTGGTGTTTTCTGCCTTTTTATAGATATTAGCACTAGAACAGCTCGAACAATTTTTAGATTTGCTCAGTATTTTCTTAAATATTAAGTACTAAGGAATGGTGGATGGTTGTATTAACGTATTATGATGTTTTAGTTTCTAATGGCGCACTTGTTGGCCTCAGACAAAACTAGTTTGGTGGGACATGGATCCTGGCTGGAGAGTGGGGATATAAGCACCTCAACGGAGACGTCATCCGATGCACCAGGACCTAGTCGCAGACACTCTACCTCTCGTCGCAATCGGAACACCAGCTCTGGACATCCATCACGCAGTCCCTCACCCTTAAATGAACTCCAAAGAGTCATGCTCTCTTTGCGTCGACAAATCTTTCAGTCGAACATGTCAGAAATAAATCAGACTCAAGCGCATCCTCCAGTGGCAAATAATCCTACTTTAGCTAATGTCATCGGATTTGGGCATGCCCATGGCAGACGGCAAATTCTGCAAGGAGATCAAAACGCACAACAACCCCCTGCTCTCGCTTCCGACTTCGATATCCACCTCTTTGTGTCAAGATTGGAGTATGAGAATGGACGAATGCTGCTGATGCGAAATGAACGGGCGATTCCGAGTCTTCCACGTCTTTTAGCTGCTTCGCAAATCGTTTCCTTACCATCTGGCAGCATTGCTTCCTCCCAAAACCTTCCTTCCACTTTGGGAATCGCTCTTGAACCAGTTTTTCACTGAACTTAATTAATTTATTGTGATTATCTGTCCCCTACGTCTTTGTAAGCCGCGAAAATCATTTGTTTTAAATATCTTCGCTTATTTACTATCTAAAAATCTATCTTCTGCTAAACTGAACTTTTGTATAGGTCTTACAAAAGGGAGGTCTGTATTGTTATAATTTGGTCTGAATTATGGCAAAATAAAAAAGTGTATGAGATGCTTGGAAGTGATTTTGAAGCAAAATGGAGTTAACAAATGCCCTCGTTTATTGAACAATGGGAAAGAGATACTACTTGCTAAGAATGTGCGTGAAGCTCATATAATCAATCCATATTTGGGAGGTTTTTTCCCACCTTAAATTTTCCCCTCTTAGAAGTATCTTGGATTAGTGGGGATCTCAATTCTTGACAATCTAACCATTACCGGTCCTGTTTTACCTCCCGTTTCATCTCTCCTTGGAGGGTTTGTTAGATAGAGGCATTGGGATAGTGTTGCTCTATTCGTTCTTTCCAACATTAACTTTAAGATAGTGGAAGTTACGCCTATTTCAACATTTACGACTCTAGGATATCTCGTTTAAAGGGACTTTTCCTACTTAAATTTCAGGGATCACTTTTAAGATTCTCTTTTGCACCCATCCAATAGCTCCCTTTTCACGGCGGGAAAGCGATTGACTACAGTATTTAGTTGCCCAATAAGGTTGAAAATGTAGGAAAACCTCTCAACATTCCAGTTGTTTCAAGTTCTAGTTTTCAAATGTATTTATTCATATCAAATGACAGTCCTTTAGTCGACTTCAAGCTTCACAGTGAGGAAGGACCATCAAAGTGTTTCAAAAACGAAGGTAGAAAAAAGGTGAAGCGAGTACTGTGAAGTATTCGAATATGACGTACATTGGGGTCATGGTAGTTTAAAGTCAGAAGTCAACTGCCAGT